TTTTGTTCTTCAGTCTAGTTGTAGAGGACGTCGCTTCACTGGCCCAAGTTGGCACCATCATTGCACTCTTCTTGGGTGAGGCAGATCAGTCGCCGGCTTCTGGACGGCCTTTCACTGTGGCTGCTGGCCGCTCACGCTGGCTGCTGGCTACATACAGTAGCCCATGGCAACCCACTGCCACAGGGGCTGCAGCCTACGCTGTCGCCGGTGACTCATGGCAACAGGGCAGCTCTTTTACTTTGACAGTCTTGTCAGGGAGTGCTGGTCCCTCACTTTGAATTTTTCACTCAAGGCCAAGATTAAGGTGGATCAGAGGGCAGGACCCTAGTGGACCAAAGAAGGCGATTGCAACAGGACAGCGGAGTAGTCCTTGTATTTCAACCCAGAATAATTGAGGGAAGACACAACTGCAATATAGCGAGGCTTCCTTCAGCATCCTGCCCACCTTTGGTTTTGCATTTTGTTTTATTTTACTTTGGTCAAGTCACTCTTTATAAGCAGTGTTTTCAGTAACCCACAACTCAAAGAAAACATGATTTCTAATTAGGTCGTCAGTCCGCTTGAAGGTGTTATTGCTAGCCTTTCCTCTTTTTTTTTCAATTAGACTATTTGGTGGGTTTAATTATCTTTCACTATAAATCTCCACTGTAATAGTGATTGTAGAATGCTTCCTCCCAGCAACCCAGGGATATACATATTATTTATTATCCCATTTTTCAAGCAAGGAAACTGAGCACAGAGGTGAATGATACAGGTAGTCAAGTGGGAGAAGGCCTGACTTTGAGTTTTGTGTTCTCTGCACAGGGCTTGGCCTGCTCTTACTGCCTATGAACTTTTTTTTTTTTTTTTAAGATTTTTATTGGGGAATTGGGGGGATAGGAACAGTGCTGGGGAATTGGGGGAAGGGGAACAGAGAAGTTGCTGTCGTTTTGTTCTTCGATCTAGTTGTGGGGGATGTTGCTTCACTGGCCCAAGTTGGCACCATCATTGCGCTCTTCTCTGGCGAGGCAGATCAGTCACCAACTTCTGGACGGCCGCTCACTGCGGCTGCTGGCCACTCACGCTGGCTGCTGGCTACACACGGTAGCCCATGGCAACCCA